TTGCGATAAGTACAATCCCCACAATAGTAAATTTGAACATAGTGTTTATATGGAAATAAATTATATTTCTTCTTCCATATTATTGTTGTTATTAATACAAAATTATAATGTTTTATCAAAATCCGAGATGAGCAGCGCGCGGTTTCTCCTTATAAGAACAAATATATAAAATAAGAAGAAATATACATACCAATATTGGTTTGTATATTTATTCTTATTTTTGTTTCAACCTCGAAAAAACTATCAAGCTATTTTGAAATTATTATCAAGATTTTTTTTTGTAGATATTTGATGCCCAATTAGTGATTTTGGAACATAAATCCATCATTTGCGCAGGATATTCAGCAGTTATGCATATTCATTGCGCAGCTGAAGAGGTGACAGTTAAGGTAATATTTAAGATATATGCATTGTATGCAAACTAAGCTACAAGTTACAAAAAAATATGTGTGCTTTTATGGAAGTATATTGCATGGAAAACTAATGTATGCGTGTATGTTATGTAAATAATATGGCGGTTTTCTACCTGTGGGGCGAGCGAGGCTACTGCAAGGGGGGCGTACACCCGAGTCCGGTGAAACCGGACAAAATTTGATAAAAAGACTCAAACAACACGGCAATAATTCGAAAAACTCCAACCAAAACCAAACTATGATAACAGACCACATCACAAATTTCAAACACTCTTTCAATTTTAATGCCCGTATTATCTACCACGAACGGAACACCATTCAAAGACGTTTCGCAGAATCTTGTTTCATAGCATTAAGTAAACAGGCTATAAACAAAAGATGTGATACCTCCTTACTCTGCGAAAACTACCAAGTAATACTAAATAATGTTTCCAAATTTATCTCCTCTGAACATAACGAATTCTGACCATACAAACCTTGCCAACACTACTAGTTCAACCTCGGCCATGAAACACGGTCTTTACCTACCCCCGCATAGTAAATTTTGAATGACCCTTTTAAAATTCTTCATTTTAGATATTTGAGGTATTAATACAACTACTTAGTAATACTAAATATTGTTTCCAAATTTTTCTCCCCTTGAACAAAACTAATTCGGACCATACAAACCTAGCCTAACATCACCAGTTCAACTTCGACCGTCTTTACCTAACCACGCGCGGCAAGTTTTTGAATGACCCTTAAAAATCTCTCCAACATGTGCTCGGCCACTAAAGCCTCGGATCTTGCACATTTCACAAGTCGTTGCAGGAATTACTTGATTTTACTCACATTTTTGTTCAAATAAAACTATCATTTTTCTTTTTTCTTTTTACTTTTTACTTATTTATTGTAAAATGATAAAAATTCATAGTGTGGATAAGTTAGATGTATAAGTGTTAGTGCTAATTTCTAGTGTTGTGTACACATCTTATATGTACCCTACCAACGTTAATGTAAGTCTTTTCTTAAATATTTTGTTGGCTTTACATATATACGTGTTTATGTATATGTATATATGTATGTATATATTTATGTATATGTATATTTGTATATGTATGTATATATATATATATATATATATATATATATATATGTATGTATGCGTATATGCACATGTGTACGTATATAGCTGTGTTTACGTAAATAAGTATTAGTATATGTATGTTCATACATGTAAATGTACGTCCTCGTGAATATGCATGCACGTTGCATATATGTATGTGTATGTTTTTTTTTGTATAGCGAAGGAAATACGTTTACGTATTCAACAGACGCAGAATTGTCTGGATATGTCGGACTCAACAATGTTAATATCGACTAAAACCTCCGCTTTTCCCAAGCCTTGTAACCCCCACGTAAGCCGCCCTTAGGCATTACTTCGCGGGGAAGGATCTAGAAACTGCTTTTCCTTATTGTAGCTAAGATGTCATACATCTTTCAATAGCTCTTTTTCCCTCAATGAATCGTAGTGTTATGATGACTTCTGTAACATACGTACTACTGGCGTTCCAAGCATCTTCTGAGCATTGATTCAATTAGTGTTTCTGGTTGAATCTTTTGCTTTAAATTTTTTTCCAGTTTATTCCGCTGTGCACTGAAGTGCGAGCAAACAAAGAAAACATGCTCTGCATCTTCATTAACTCCTTGGCATGCTGGGCATTCAGGAGAATCATCGTGCTTAAATCGGTGAAGATAAGCCCGAAAGCAACCGTGTCCAGGCAGCATCTGCGTTAAGTAATAGTTGACTTTGCCATGTCTCCGGTTCAGCCAAACGTTGATCTAGGTATAAGACGGTGCGTCCATCTACCCTTTTCTGCGACATCCTACTGTATTTGCCATCGTCTTATGCTGTTACGACGTTCTTCGGTTCTGAGATCATCAGCGCTTTATGTCGTTGACCTCTTGCGTTGGTAAAGATTTTGTCTTTCCTCAGCTAAGACTCTAAGAGGCAGAGTCCCGGCAATGACACATACCGCTTCCTCAGATATTGTGCGGAAGCCGCATACTACTCGTAAAGCCCTCAAGCGGTGTACAGGACCAACTTTCCTCCATGATTCTTGGAGCTCTAGTGCGTCTGCCCAAATAGGTATTCCATAAGCACTGACGCAACTACTGATGAAAGTGTAAGTCTTCTGCTCTGCTTTGGTCCGCCGATGTTAGGCATCAATCGTGCAAGACAAGTTCTCACTACAGATGCTTTGTCACTTACTTGTTTTACATGATGCTTAAAATTTAGTCGGGCGTCAAGCGTCACTCCCAAGTATTGGATGTAAGCTTGTGATATGATCTCTTGTTCACCGACTTTCAGTTTAATGGTCTTTATAGTTTTCATGCTGGTGATGAGTGCTGCTTCCGTCTTTTGTTTCGCTAGTTGAAGACTAACAGTACCCATTCACCTGTTTACTTTTTCGAAGGTAATGTCGAAAATATGACGTATTTCGTCTACATATTTCGCAACGATCACTACGGCTACGTCGTCCGCATATGCCACTAGTTTGGCGCGTCTTGGGATCTTCAATCTCGAAAGCCCATCATACATAACATTCCACAGAAGTGGTCCAAGAACTGAGCCTTGAGGAACACCTCCGGTGATATTATATTCTTTTGGGTCGTTTATTGTGTCGTACTTCAGAACCCTATCCGTAAAATAGCTTGCCACTATTTTACATATGTAACCGGTACATTCTTTTCTTCAAGAGCATGCATTATGCAGTCCCAATTTGCGCAGTTGAAAGCGTTCCTGATGTCTAGTGTAGCCACAAGGCAGTACTCTTTTGTACCTCCCTTCCATCTTGTTCCTTCGATTGCTTTTTTGGCAGTATCGACAACTAGCTTTATTGCGTCCAGGGTTGATCGTCCTTTCCGGAATCCATACTGGTTGTCCGCCAGAAGTGGGTCAACGACTGCCTCAATTCTTTAGTGAATTATTCGTTGATGCCAACTGGTAGCTGAAACTGCGTTGCTATGGAAACAGCGCAGTTACAACTTTCCGAAGAAAATAAGGACACGTAGGCGACTGCACTTGTTGCTTTTTGAGCACTTTGTAAGGCCTACTCACTGATGAGATCTTTCCAGCATCTTTGTTTACTTTCTTTGATGGCCTTATTTAGTTTTCGACGAGATTTTTTGTACTCTGCGATTAGTTCCTCGATGTTAGGCCGCTTATAGCCACGCTGAGCTATTTTTCTTTACGAAGGACACTGATGTTATCATTCCACCAATAGACGGAAGGCTGCGTTTGGTAGTTGTGCCCTGGAAGGTGAGCTTGTTACTGGACCAAATAACAGATTTAGTGGTTGTATCCGCTTCCCATAGTTCGCCAGTTAGATGCTTGTATGGCTCTGCTAGAAGCACAAGATCAAGCTTCAGCTCTCGTACTGTCTGCATAAGCAGATCATGTGGAGCTTCACAATAACTTAAATTTAGCTGCAGTATCTTCATGCTTTTTTCATTGATGCTTTCTCGAGTGCCTCTTTATATACCGGACATCTGTAGGTTCCTGCATGGTGGGCAGCGTCCTCTGCGCTTCGGTGTTCAGCGCATAGTGCACATTTTGCTGGGTTTGGACAACTGGCGATCTTGTGTCCTTCTTGTCCGCATCTAATGCAAAGGTTGGAACGGATCACTTTACTTGTGCACTAAAATCCGTAATGCCCGAAAAGCCAACATTTGTAACATTGGGTTGGCCTATTAGTTGTTCTTATTCGGCAGTTTACCCAGCCAATTCGGATTTTGCCGATTCCTTCAAGCAATTTCTGCGCCGTGGCTGCTGGTAACGTTACTGTAGCAACCTGGGTTCAATCAATGTCTCTGATTTTTATTATTTCTTATGTGTATATGTATATTTCCGTAGATGTATAAATATGTATATATATGCGTATTTATATATGCGTAGGTTTATATGTATATATGTATATGTGTACTTATATATTTATTCATATATTCTAATTCTTTTTCTTTTTTTATCTATTTAATATCTAGTTTCTATTACCTTTCCTATCGGTTATAATTTGTTTGTTGTTAAGTGTTGCTGTTTTGTTAATTCTTTTCTTATATTTATAGTTTCTTTACCAATCCACATTATAATTACCTAGTTATACTAATTCTTTATACTGTTTTTAGATCCACTGATGATGACATTAAATTGAATGTCGAAACGTTTGGAATTAAAGAATAATTTATAAATCTTTGTTTTTTATGTTTTGATGTATCGCCCCACAAGAACTTACTCATATATCTTCAAACTTAACAACGTCAAAATTAACAACTAAATCATATATATAATATATATATATATATATATATATATATATATAATATATATATATATATATATATATGAGATTCAATCTTCAGGGCAATGCATGAATTAAAAACTTGTATGAATTTAAAACATTTTTGTTTCCATACGTTTCGACACATAGTTTTGTGTCATCCTCAGTGGACCATGTGATTGTAGTAATCCTAATTATTTCATAGTAATAATTGTTCACAAATGTACGATAAAAACAATTCTTGTCACTTTAAATCGGAACAAATATAAAATTTTTTAAACGAATTTTTTATTGTATAGAACATCTCGCAGTTCCGTATTCCGATGCAAGAGTATTTGTTATTTGTTCCGATTTAAAGTGACAAGAATTGTTTTTATCGTACATTTGTGAACAATTACTATGAAATAATTAGGATTACTACAATCACATAGTCCACTGAGGATGACACAAAACTGTGTCGAAACGTATGGGAACAATAAAAATGTTTTAAATTCATACAAGTTTTTAATTGATGTATTGCCCTGAAGACTGAATCTCACATATCTCAACATCAAAATTATAAAAATTTAACATATATATATATATATATATATATATATATATATATATATATATATATATATATGATTTAGTAGTTAATTTTGATGTTGGAATATATGAGTGAGTTCTTGAGGGCGATACATCAAACAAAGAAAAGAATAAATCTTTGCCTTTTCTTTGTTTGATGTATCGCCCTCAAGAACTCTCATATATATATATATATATATATATATATAGATATATATATATATATATATATATATATGTATATATATATGTATATATATATATATATATATATATATATATATATATATATATATATATATATATATATATATATATATATATATATATATATATATATATATATATGTATATATATATATATATATATATATATATGTATATATATATATATATATATATATATATATATATATATATATATATATATATATATATATATATATTAGTGCACTCATTTTGTCAATTATACTCATAATTTATTGCTTGCCAACAGGCTTTATTATGTCTGGTAGACAAAAAAACAGGCGATAAATCTCGCACACGACCACGTTTTGTGAAGCAAGATCAAGTTGCTATTATACGAATTGAATGCGCTGGTGTTATTTGCCTGGAACGTTTTCAGACATTTCCACATATGGGCAGATTTACTCTAAGGGACGAAAGTAAGTAAATTATTTTGCTTCAAGTATCCCTTTGCTAGCTAAAAAGTCAATGCGCTATCACCTATGCAATCATATTGCAGTAACGCACCACTTAAAAGGAGAACCCGCGCATTGCTCGTCTCGGATTTTGATGAAATTTGGCACAATGGTAGATTTTATGCCCAAACTGACCGTGGTAAAATATTAGAGGCATATGAAAAGCGGTTTAATAATAAAAATTAATTAGTTTGCATTTTAGCAGCGCGCGCTATACATAGCTTGTAACGTGCACTTTTGTCAGTTCAGTCGTAGCCTAGTGGTGAAGTGACTGGGCTCTCATTTTTGCGTATGCGTATCGTCGGAGGATCGAATCCCACTCATGATAATTTTTTTTTATTATTTTTAATTCAAATTTATAATTGCATGACATAACAACATAATAATTTTATAAAAAAACAGCAATAACAAGGAAGAAAAAATGTAATTTATTTGCATATATTAACTACTTTAAGGTTCACAGTTGGCGGGATGGTACTTATCATAAAAACAAGAGAAACAAAAATAAATTGCAATGAGCACATTTCACAAATGCAGTAGTATTACATAAACATTTTTCACTTCCTTGTTATTGCTGTTTTTTTTATAAAATTATTATGTTTTAGGTATCACATCAATTTTATACAGACGCTACAGAGTATTTTACTATAGAATATTTAGCGAAAAATATAAAAATAATTAATAACTCAAGAAAACTTTATTATTATTTACTCATGCGATTATAAATTTGAATTAAAAATAATAAAAAAAAAATTATCATGAGTGGGATTCGATCCTCCGACGATACGCATACGCATTCGCAAAAATGAGAGCCCAGTCACTTTACCACTAGGCTACGACTGAACTGATGAGAACGCACGTTACAAGCTATGTATAGCGCGCGCTGCTAAAATGCAAACTTTAATTAATTTTTATAATTAAACCGATTTTCATAGGCCTTTAATATTTTACCACGGTCAGTTTGGGCATAAAATCTACCATTGTGCCAAATTTCATCAAAATCCGAGACGAGCAATGCGCGGGTTCTCCCTTTTAGTCGGCTATTACAATGGATATCGAATTTTCTTTCACTTACAATTATATTTTAGCCCTGTAAATTTAAATTTAAAATCAGGGTGAAGGTTACTATAATTTATAATGAGCTGTATCTTGGCAAAATAATTTAAAATACAATTATAAAGAAAATCTCAAAAGTTCTCATCGATTCGATGCGAGCTAAAAAAATGACCCTTTTGCGATTTTCAGCTAAATGGCCAGTTTAATCGCAAAATTACCTGAGACTTATTGTAGAACATAAAGTTATCTACAAAAAATGCATCACACTTTTTTTTTGCTCAGAGCCACCGTTTTAAAGACATATCACTTTGAAGAGTACGTCTAAACGCCACCTACGAGGTAATGTGCTTAGCTAGTTTGTTTACGTCGGTTCTCCAGTAGGCCTATTTCACGGGTCTGTTGTGATTTTGTTTGTTTCGGAACACTTGCAAGATAATATTTGTGAATTTGGGTTGGTAAAAATAAAGGCGGTAATTTAAAAAAAAACAACTAAATTAATTCCTGGGAGTCATAATTTTCAAATGTTTCTACATCTTTTTCGTATCGTTTTCTTGATCTTATTCTTCTTTCTCTTCTTTTTCTTTTTTTTTCTTCTTTGTCTTCCTCGTCTTTTTCTTCTTTACTTTGAGTATAAACTTGTCCTGGTTTAAAAAAATACATAATTTGTTCAGTTGGAGTTCGAGTTCTTCGCAAATAGTCACAATAAATCACAGTTAATTTCAATGTTAAAAACTAAATTTACTGGTGAAAATATATCAGTTAAAAACAAGCTAATGATGCTGATGCACTAATTATTGAAACATCGATAGAGCAATTTAATGTGACAAATAGTTCTATTGTTCTTGATGAAGATATTGATTTACTCGCCTTACATACTGCTGCGACTCCAACTGAACAAATTATTTATTTTTTTAAACCAGGAAAAGTTTATACTCAAAGTGAAGAAGAAGAAGACGAAGAAGAAAAAAAAGAAGGTGAATATCAAGACAAACGATGCGAAAAAGATGCAGAAACATTTGAAAATTATGACTAACAGGAATAAATTTAGTTGCTTTTTTATTATCACCGCCTTTATTTTTACCAAGTGTTCCGAAACTAGTTGGGGGCATGGCATCGTGCCTTAAGGCAAATTGCTGGAACTTCCCGTACCGTGATTAAAAATCTTGGTACTGAACCCATAAAAAATTACACAAAACGTGTGCACATTATGAAAATCTCTATAAAATATCTGATAATTTAATGTGCATAAGTCCAATAAACGTTTTGACCGCCAAATTACATTTTTTAACTTATTTTTATTGAGAGTCCATAATCGCTGGACCTGCCTTCCCAAAAATTTAATCTTTCTTTATCTTGTCAATAAAAGTAAAATGATTTTTTAATTATTAAAATCGGACGTCCGTTCTCTTCAAAACTTACTTCTTAACTTACTTTATTGGGTTACCGTCTTGGTCACTTTTCCCTCCGTATCTTTGGAACGGCTAGACCTGCCTCCGTCAAAAACTAATACGTACGTCTTCTTATCAATATGAATCGAATGTTTTTTATATTATCCAAATCGGTTATTCCATATTGTCGAAAATGTCGAACATTTGCTTAAACCATATAAATAACTTCAAAATTAAAAATTTTGAACGGAACCCAATAAAATTTACACCAAATGTGTGCACATCATGAAAATCTCTATAAAATATCTGATAATTTGATGTGCATATGTCTAATGATCACTTTTGACCGCCAAAAGGCATTTTTTAACTTATTTTTGAGAGCTCATAATCGCTAGACCTACCTTCCCAAAAAATTAATCAGTTTTTTTACCTTGTCAATACAAGTAAAATGTTTTTTGAATTATTAAAATCGGACGCTCCGTTCTCTTTAAAACTGAATTACCGTTTTTGGCAGTTTTTGCCCGTATCTTCAGAACGGTTAGACCTGCCTCTGTGTTCCCGAAATCGTCGACGAAAATTTGTATCCGCACACACACACACACACACACACACACACACACATACATCCACTTTTTCTAAGGTATGCCAAAATGTTCAGCTTTGAAAAGTAAAGATATATAAAAATTTTCATTTTTGATCTTTTTGCTGTTACTATAAATTACCCTACAGGAAGTTAACATACGAAATCACAACAACGCATGAAATAGGCCTACTGGAAAAACCACTTAAAAAAACGAGCTAAGCATACTACCTTGTAGGTGGCGTTTAAACGTACTTTTCAAAGTGATATATCTTTAAAAGGGTAGCTCTGAGCAAAAAAGTATTGATGCATTTTTGTGATAATTTTATGCTTTACAATACTGCCTCAGGCAATTTTTCGATAAAACTGATCATTTAGCTAAAAATTGCAAAGGGTCATTTGTTTACCTTTATAATTGTATTTTAAACAATTTTGTCAAGCCCATTATGAATTATAGTAAACTTGAATGCATAAATTGACCGGGCTATTTTGAAATAAAAATGAAATAAATTCAGAAATATTATACTCTACAAAAATAACTCTCAATACAACTAATATATTGATTATTGTATGAAAAAAAACTAAATATGATGTAGTCAATTTTTGTGTATGTCACATAAAATTTTTAAAACCATACTTTTCTGTTTCAGATAAAACTATTGCCATAGGAAAAGTATTGAAAGTGATAGAATGAAAAATTTATCTACCGATTTACTTTGATATATTTATAAAAAAATCTACAAAGTATATATATATATATATATATATATATATATATATAATATATATACAACGGGATGTCTTTTTTTCAAGATATATTAATATTTATTATGTAACAGATACGGTTATAGATTTTTTAAAATAGGAAATTGATAAATGAATATCTTAAAAGATGAGGATAAGTGTATTATACTATGAAGGCAACCCATAATCTTTATTACATATTATATTGCAAGCATACTGATTCAGAATATCTCTTCTAAAATATTTTATATAAAATTTATGAATACGAACAGTTATTATGAAATCTACTGTTTCATTCTTAACAAACAATAAATGAGCGATCTATAGGATAGTGTTATTTTACATATAATATTGATAAGAATACATTTATTTTGTTATTTATCACATTGTAAATTTGGTACTAACTTTATTGAATAAATGTCAGCATTTTTGCGCAGAGTGATTGCAAAACTATATTTCTATAGATTGCATTGTTTTTGTTATGCAGATCTTTTTTTAATGTTAAGTTTAAAAATGGCAACTGGAATTTGTAAATCAAGCTATATTAAACCATTTATGAAATTTGCTAATCAAAGAGTTTTAATTTGTGGATATTAATTTACTACTTACTCATGTTTTATATATTATTTCAGCTTGGTAATTGATTTAAAATTGATCCATTATTGGTATCTAAATTACATAGCATCTTATACCTAACTTTCTTTCTTTTGTTGTTACATGTGCACTAATGATATGCCGACATAAAAATTTCCTGATTCGTATAAAAAAACATGATTCAAATCATTTTTTAATCAATTTTAATCAAGCTTATATATTTTTAACTTCCCTTAGGGTAAGTTATTGTAATCGTCCAAAAATCAAAATTGAGAATTTTTACATTTCTCCACGTTTTGAAAGTTTCTGAACATTTTGGCATACCTCAGAAAAAAATGGATGTATGTATATGTGTATGTATGTGTGGATACAATTCTTGTCCACGTTTTTGGGCGCACGGATTGTCCGATTTGAATGTTTTAAACATTCGATACCTATTTCGAATTCGATAACGATTCGAATTTAAAAAACATTCGATACCTATTGATAACGAGCTGTGCTGATTAGTTTTTGGCAAAGGCAGGTCCAGCCGTTTCGGAAATACGAAGCAAAGAGTGCAGAAAATAGATATTTAGTTTTTGACAGAACGGAGCATCCGATTTGAATGATCCAATAAACATTCAATTCGTAATGACGGGGAGTAGTGGTGATTAGTTTTTGGCAAAAGCAGGTCCAGTCGTTTCGGAGACCGAGCTAAATTTGCTAAAAATGGCTGTTTTTGAGAGAAATCAGCATCCGATTTGAATCATTCAAAAAACTTTCCGCTTGTGTTGACGAACTTCCTTGCTCCCAAGGGCTCAAATTGTTCCAAATTGACAAAAAATAATTCTCTGAAAGTTTTAGCTCTTAATATTGACTTTTAGATAGTGCGCAATTCAATCAAACTTTGTATGGAAATAGCATGGAAAATTTTTTGAAAATTAAAAAAAAATTTTTTTAGGTATAACTTAGGGACAAAGGAATTAAAAGTGAAAATTTGTGTCATTTTTTAGTGAAAATTCGACGCTCAGCAAATTTTTTGAAATTTTTTTGCTATTTCCATACAAAACTTTAATTGAATTGCGCTCTATCTAAAAGACAATAATAAAAGCTAAAACTTTCAGAGAATTGTTTATCAATTTGGAACCATTTGAGCCCTTGGGAGCAAGGAAATTCGAAAAAGTCTATATTAAGGACCACCATACTTGTTTATCTATGGGACCACCCTAATATACATATACTTGTTTATTTATAGTTAAAGCAAAATATTTGGTAGACTATCATAAGTACCGCATTTAATTCATTGTTGTGAATTTTGCCATTGCTTACCTAATCAACAGTTATCTATGGTTTACTGTTACTATTTCCAATAATTGTCAAGAAATTAATTATCTATATTCTGTTCGCTCTCAGTGCTAAAGAACTGAGTCGAATAAACTTTTGTTTATTAGACAGAATAAACAAAAACAACATAGAATTTTTATTAACTTTCCGAAGAAGTTAGTTTTGATCAAAATATCCGATTGGCTAATTTCTAAATCGAATGAGACCAAATTTGGAAAAATTATGTGTGTGTATATATATATATATATATATATATATATATATATATATATATATAGGGCCGGTCCTGGGGTCCTTAGCGCCCGCATGCAACTTTTTTTTAGCGCCCCCCCCTATTAATTTTAACTGTTTTAACTCTTTATTATTAAAATTATATAAAAATTACATATTTTCTTAAAATTAATTTTTAATTATTCTGTATTTAGTACACAAAAAATTAGATATAATCTAAAAGCGTATAAAATACATTGATTTTAAATTTATTTAGCAAATCTAGGCCATTCGCTTGTTGATTATAATCAAATATTTTTAAATTTTCAATTATTTTTAACGTATTGCATTATTAATATTTGGGTTTTGAAACATTTTACTTATTTATTATGCTATTTATCATATTGAGCAAATCATGTCAAGAAAACTAAAAAAACTAGCTTTTGATTTTCAATCATAACATTCGTATTTAATATTGAATTTTTTAAATTTTACGTTAATTTAATTTTTCATTATTTACAATATCCAAAATTGCGTCGTAAACTTCTCCTTATTGATATCGTAAGAGCCGAATTGTATTCATCCTTGCTTTCCCGTCATATTCAGAGTATCAGATTGTTTCATTGTGATTGTGATCAATTGTTAACGTATTTTAGAAGTATTATCCAATAATCAGTAAAAAATGCTAAGAAATTACACATTTCTTGAACTATATTGAAATAAATCAATTATATTTGATATGTATTATTCCTGCATAGCTTATAATTATTAAATTTAGAGTATGGACACCACTAGGTATAAAAAAACCTTAAGATTTTCGTTCCAAAGTAAATTTTGCTTTCATTTTTCATATTTGTTCCATTTCCATAACCCTAACCACGCATGTCTTCAACATTCAAAATTCATCAGAAGCGAAACATTTGCAACAAAAGCAAAAGTTACAATTCAATTTCTCGGAATGGTCATGCCATTTTTTAAGCACTGACTCCGTCCATTTTTCATTATCCCGATTATAATTTGTTTATATTTTTTAACAAGTTTTGTTTCAACTAAATCAGCTCACAATTTTTCGTCAATAATGCCCAATAATTAATTTCAAATTTCGCAGGTTTGCGCTTATGGGATTGAACACTAGATCATTTCTTTTTCGATTCCACGCTAACTTCAAACAAAGAAAAAATTGAATAAGTAGAATAAGCAGTAAAAAGGCTGTTATTTACTAATTTGCAGAGTAATTAATCGGTTAATTTTTTCTACTGATATCACATTGCAAAATAAATATGCTTTTTGTTTCTCCGTATCCCTATTATTTATTATAATTTTTCAAGTATTCTAGATTTTATATAAATAATAAAAAATATAAATAATATATTATAAATTTAATTTCCAAAACTCGTTTTGGCGCCCCCTAAGGCGTGCGCCCGCATTTTTTGCATATATATATATATATATATATATGTGTGTGTGTGTGTGTGTGTATGTGTATGAACAGATTTTTTGCCATAAATCGACATTTTCTCAAAAACGGCTGGACCGATTTCAATAATTTAAAAGAAGCCATTTGATGTATCTCGATGAGCATTGTTTGTCGATGAGTTTTGTTTAATTTTAAAAATTCGTCAAAGTTTGCAAAAATTAGTATCGTTTATTTGGCGTTTGTCATAATTAGAACTTTCATCGACGCTTGCTCAAAAACGCCTGAACCGATTTCAAAATTTTAAAAGCCAATCAATGTATTTTGATGTAGATTATCTTTTCTCAGTTTTGTGCGACGATCGGCTGAGCCGTTTCTTTGTAAATAGCAGAAAAGTGAAAAAAAATTCGTCCACGTTTTAGCTTTCAATTCTTAATCGTTTTTAAAAAATCAAAAACTGTTCGGAAGATATTGGTTGAGCATGATACTGATTAGGTTTAGGTAAGAATCTACCGAGCCGTTTACAGAAGATGACCTCGATGACTAAGATTCTGATGGTGAAAACCCCGATTCTGATGAAGTTTTAAGAATTTTGCAGGAAAAAACGACGATGATGATGATGTGGATGATGTTGGTGAATCTGTTGGCATTGATTCTCCTCTTTTAGAAACAGTAGATCAAGAACCCTCTCAACCATCAACAACATCCAATTTGCAGCCATAATCCAGTTTTCCATTTGACAAAAGAACCTTGATTTGGAAAAAAGGAATAAAATTACTTTATTGGTGAGTTTTACTGCTTCAGGTGGTTTACCACCCTTAGAAACTCCATATCAATGTTTTAACCATTTTATAACTAAAGATTTTATCAAAACTTTAGTAGAGGTGACAAATTTATATATATATATATATATATATATATATATATATATATAATAATACAGAGTAGTCCCAGTTCATCTATAACATTTACAGATTATGATTCTATGACTCTTTGGTATATTATTGTACATGCATCAGTAATCGAAATTCCTAGCACAAGATCATACCGGTCGCCAAAGTTGGTTCAATAAACATGTGGGAGGAGTAGATTTCATGGATAATTTTTTGTTCAGAAATCAAATAACAATGAGGTCAAAAAATGGTATTTGCGTATTTTTTTCATCTGTTTGATCTAGGTATTATAAACTATAAACTCTTCGTATGTTTATAAATAAAGTTCTGAAGAAAGTGGTGAACGTAAAAAGAGTTTGCTTACAATTATTTAATAAAATACAAAAAATCATGCAAAGAAGGGTTAACTGTTGATAATTTTTTTTGCCGATTTTCGAACTTTTTTTTTAGCAATGGATATTATTTAAGCATGGTCTTGACAAATCTATCGACAAATAGTTTGATGTTAAAAATTCATCAAAATTCTATTCGAAATGGTAATGTCTAGATTTAATTGAAAGCGATAACTTTATTTTT